GAGGGTGGCAGACCCAGCAAAGCAGTAGAAAAGCTGATGGGAATCATGCCCCTTGGCAGGGCTGCAGGCCCAGGAGGTCGAGCTGCAGTGGGGAAGCACAGGGCTCCGGCAGGGAGGCTGCTGGTCAGATCACGGGGATCACCAGGTTTGGGTTGGGGAGCGTGGGCAGCACCTGCCCGTGCTGGGCCCGGCTCTTGCCAGGGCTGCCAGGCCAGGCCTTTGGGGAGCCCCCCCAGTGCTGTGATTCAGGAAAGGCTGAGACGCCCCCAGGAGGGCGAGGGGGCAGGGGAGGGGCTCAGCCTCTGCCTCCTAACAGCAGATCTCCGCAGCGCCTGTTGCTCGCACTTCCGCTGGTGCTGCACGCCCCCGTCACAGAACCTGCGCCCCCTCTAGGGGGCCAACTTTCTCCCCCGCCCACTGCTCCGCCTCTTCCCTGAGGCCCCGCCCCTTGCTCCACCTCTTTCTCTTGAGGCCCCCGCTCCTCTTTCTCCCCCCCACTGTGGCTCGCTGCTCTCTCCACCACCCTCCCCCTGCCAGCTGAGCATGGCGCGAGGGGTGGAGGGGTGATTGGGGCAGGGTGGGGGAGGGAGAGCCGGGCTCCGGGATTGGGGGGGTGAGGGGGGCAGGACGGGGGAGCCGCTGGTACCCCTCTCCACCGGAGCCATTCCTGAGTGCTCCGCTGCTCCTCCAGGCTCCAGCAGCTGATGTTGCTCTTCCCACCCCCCAGTGGCGGAGGCTGGTTACTGCAGGTAACCGGACTTTTAGTGTCCGGTCAGCACTGCTGACTGGACACTGGCAGGTTCCCTTTTCGAGCAGACTTTCTGGTCAGAAACCAGACACCCGGCAACCCGCGCCCCCTCGCTCTCGCCCCGGCAGGCCAAGTTTGAGCTGATCACCTCGGAGGCCTCCTACATCCACAGCCTCTCCATCGCGGTGGAGCACTTCATGAACTCGCGGGAGCTGAACGAGTGCCTGGGAGCCCAGGAGAAGCAGTGGCTCTTCTCCAAGCTGCCCGAAGTGAAGGACGTCAGCGAAAGGTCAGCTCGTCCCAGGGGACGGGGCCTTTTGACCTGCAAGGTGCTGCTGGGGAGGAGGGGGGGTGAGACAGGAGCGAGCTGAGGGGCCATTTCAGGTGACCTGGGAACCTGGCTCAGGCGCTTCCCCCTGCAGCTCTGCCCAGCGCCCTGGTCCAGGTGGGCCCAGGTTCTGGAGATGCTGCTGCTCAGTGCACCATGGGGTTGTGGTGCAGACTTGTGTTGCTCTTGGGTGTTCTCTTGTGGGTCTAACACCTTAATCCAGGGCTGGGGGGAGCTGAAGACCCTTCTCCAGACAGGAGGGAGACCATTCCCAGCGGTGCCTCGAGCGTCCCCGGGCATGACCAGGGCAGCGGCATAGTGCCCCCGCCCAGCGCTGGGAAAGGCCGGTGGTTTCCTCGGGGCCGGCTGGGCCGGGGTTCGCCTGCCCGCTAAGGCCCTGTCTCGCCCCCTGGCTCCCCGGCAGGTTCCTGCTGGAGCTGGAGGAGCGGCTGGAGGAGAACATCCTGCGCTTCGACATCTGCGACATTGTGCTGCGCCACTGCCCGGCCTTCCGCCGGGTCTACCTGCCCTACGTCACCAACCAGGCCTACCAGGAGCAGACCTACCAGCGCCTCCTGTGCGTGAGTCCCCCCCCC